TCTAATAGGCGATTGGTCAGACTTAATCATGATGACTTAATTATAATAACAAAAGGTATCATCGGACCTACAAACAAGTTGATATAAACAAAAGTGAACTAATTATGGTAAATAAACAGCAGGTGGCTGTAAGGCAACTAAGGATTAGGGAAATAAATTAATTAGTAAAATGACAATAATAAAAGGCAAGAAAAATTAATATATATCTCTGTAATGATGAAAGATTCATTATAGATCACAATGAACATAATTAAAGAATAAGTGTATAAATTATAATATAATGTAATGATATAGAGGACATGATAATAATTACAATAGTAACGATAGTAATGATAATATAATAATATGTAATAGTAAAACTAGTAGCAATATATGGATGAGTCTTAAATGAACAAAAATAAAATGGATATCGGTGTATACAAGTTGAGTGAACATAATCCAGTCTATAAAATATGAAATATAAAAAATATATTATGATAACAGATTATAATTATCAAATGAAAATATATAAAAAAATATATATATAGAAATGAACTGTATGTATATAAACATGAGATAAATGTGTGAATAAATATAAGTATATAAAGGTATAGAGTCGGATACTAAGATGAAGCATAATTAATTAAGCAGAATCAGCATGGGGAAAGGTGTAGTCACTAATGATACCCAGGTCTTTATTAAGACCAAAAATGTGTGTTTTATATTTGATTATGAGTTTCAGTTCAGATTGACGTCTTTGTTTGAGTGATTTGAAATTGCAAGCAATGAGTGCACAGCGAATGTCGTTGATGTTGTGGTCAGGAGAGTTGAAATGTTCGGCTACCGGAAAGCCGTCTGTGTTACCTTTGCGGGTGCTTTGTTTGTGATTGTTAAATGTTAATCTAAATTTAGCGCCGGTTTCCCCGATGTAGGTCCCTTTGTTACATTTGACACAATGTGAGAAGGTATATGACATTAGAAGAATCGCAAGTCAGGGCAGGAGGATGAATGGTATGAGAGGAGTAGGGTACTTTAATTTGTGTGTCAGTGATGAGTAGTTTGCAGATCATGCATCGTGGTTTGTTGCATTTAGAGTTGCCTCTTTTAGGTGGTGACAAGCGTGAGGATGTGACGATCATTTTGAGGTTAGGGGGTTGACGGCTATGCTCAGACATTAATGATTACAATTTCCATGCTAACAACCTAGCAGGATTTTTTCTCAGTCGTGGCTATCCCCCTAACCTCATTAAATCCCAAATTACTAAGGCAGCAAGACGTTCACGGCAAGACCTCTTATCTCCTAAAATCCGCCCCACATGCAATCGCATTCCCCTCATCCTTGATTTTCACCCCTCCATCACGTCCTTATCTAGAAC